GCTCGTGATTATGGTAAGGGGCGTTACATTTCCGACGAGTGCTTGCGGTGTTCGGCCAATCACAATGCACTGGGTCAGCTGGCCAATCAGAGCAGACTGCATTTGTCTGAAGGAGGGACTTTGTTGAAAACGAAGCGTTTGAGAGAGGCGGGGCATAGAGGACCTACAATAATGTACAGTATTTGAAAAATTATGTGTTTTTTGAACATTAAAGCATGTCAACATATTATATTACACCAAATACACAAAATAATGATCTTTAAAAAAAAGCATCATATGACCCCTTTAAATCTCTGTAGTCTGATTTATGTCTGTTTTTCATTTGTGAATCAACATCACCATCTGGTGTCTCAGTCTGAATCTGCATGTTATCAGGATCCTCTGTCACTGACTCCACTAGTTCTGTCTGATTGATATATGAAACTACAACTAACATACAACAAGACTAAGCAAAACACATATATACAGAATGAAGGAAAGTAAGGAAAGAGAGAGAGAGAGAAGAACAAAGAATGGCAGTATTTAGCATCAATTAACCACAACCTAATGAGAATCACCAGAGAATCAAAAATCACCTTGACAAAGGGGCCCAAACCTAGACATGCATCTAACTAGTTGTAAACGGTTACTTGCATTGACTTTGTTGCTGAACAAGTGTCCGGATGCGGTAGACAATGGAGGTCCTTGAGGAGTTCTGTAGGAGTGAGCTGGAGGCTTTTGTCGAGTTCTGAAGATCGGAGAGTCCACAGCGAATCAACAAAGTTACTTGAAGATAAAAACTACCGGAAAATCAAACTCAAGAGGAGAGTTTTTGAGGAGTCTTTGATAGTGTCCGTCTCAAGAAGAAAGGTTTCTGAGCAAAGATTAGTCTGAGTTAATGACTTTTGATAGTTCCTATCCACACCCACCTTTTGGGTGGAATAGCCAACACCAGGCATGAATTTTTGAGCGGGAGAAGTTTTCTTTGTCTTCCTTTATGGTCCATTTGCATGTTTATGGCCGGTCTGGAGGATTGGTGCAGTTTTACCCAAAATATAGTACAAATAGTATGATGCATTTCACGATCACATAGTGTACATCACTGTTTGAGGAATAAAGAGCAGATCATTTTGATACCAAGAAAGAAACACCTCTTTCAGTGGCGTAACTACAGACAGTGCAGGCAGTGCAGCCGCACTGGGGCCCGTGCCGCAGGGGGGCCCCACAGCGCACGCGGGCCCTGCCCACATTGCAAGCGACTATAGTAATATAAATGAATAATGAACGTATTAATAATAAAATACAATTAGTACCGAGATTCTTCACAGAACTGAATAAATATATAACTTCGGCAAGTAGTGTGTGTGAGCTTTAGTGGTGAAATGGATGAGCTTTTGTGAAGCATTTCCGTGGTTCTGGGTTCTAATCCAGATATTGCACATTTAATACTCCTTTTGGAAGATATTGTTTTCTTCGTCTTCCATTTGGGATTAAGTCAGCCCCCGAGATTTTTCATTGTGCAATGGAA